TAAATGCCTAGGATGTCTGAAAAGGAACATTTGTGTGTGTGTGTGTGTTTGTGTGTAGGCACTTTCGCACCACATAGTTCTTCTAGGAACTAGCCAGCAGGGTTGTTCCTCGAGAACCAATTTCTCCCTCTGGACGTTTTCCTGGTTGCATTCCCACCGGCAGCAGGAACTCTTTATTCACGGCATTTACAAACACCAATAACCAGTGAACGGAGGACGCTGTGATCGGAGCTGTTTTTGTTGTGTATTGTGGGTTTCGTGATAATGGAGATGTTATGTAAACACACAATTTACGCAATTAAAACGCATGAAAATCTGACTAAATCTCCTATGACAACTTGCAGTTTTATCATCAAGGTTGAGAAAAGAACACAACGCTGCAGACAACAGGTAAATACTGTTATCCCTGTTTTCCATGATTGTGGAGTAAATATATTTTTACATGGCTTTTAAAAAATGCCAGTGTTTCGTATGAGTTTGACCAATCAGCGTGCACTTGAAATTGTTTAGACCCTACTCTGAAGTAGGAGCTAATTTAGTCCTTCCAAATGGAGTTCCTAGAACTAAAACAATTCCTAGTTCCTGCGGTGCAAACATGACAAAAAATTGGAACTTCTGCCAATAGTTCTAGGAACTATGAAAAGGTTCCTTCGGTGCGAAAGTGCCTTATGTGTGGTCCTGGTAAACGCTATTGGGACAAAATGTCCCCACAAAGATGGCAATATCCAAAATCCTTGTCCTTGTGGGGACATTTTTTGGTCCCCATGAGGAAACAAGATTATAGCCTAAATCATAAATGAAGTTTTTTGAAAATCTAAAAATGCAGAAAGTTTTCTGTCAGGGGAAGGTTTAGGTGTAGGATAGGGCGATAGACAATACTGTTTGTACAGTATAAAAACCATTTCTCCTATAGAATGTCCCCATGAAACATGGAAACCAAACGTGTTTGTGTGTGTGTGTGTGTGTGTGTGTGTGTGTGTGAGGGAGAGAGAAAAACTGAGAGCAATTATAAGAAAGACCTCCAGTGAATGTGGCCCTTGAGCACAACTGTGTGTTAGTATGTATGTTCCCCTTCAGGAACTCGAGCTGTGTCGAAACGCTATGGGAACGGCTCCAGCGTGACCATGCTCTGAATCACATGAGTAATCATTCCAATGGATGGTCGAGACGTCACGGGTGGGGTGACGTAGCGATCAAGAAGCATAAAAGTATGTGCGGGGAAACCGGCGTCAGTTTTCTGTCATTTAGCAAGCGCTCTGTGTGTGTCAGTCTTATTTGGTGTTGTCTGTCCATTATCACTCTTTATTTTACCAATACGACTGTAGAAAAACATGCGGCGAGAGCGGGCAGCATCTCAGGCTGTGTGTTCTTCCCTGCCCGCGCTACATTTCGGGTGGGGATACACACAGTTTGTGTGTTGTCTGCTTGGGAGCAAAACATGCAAAGTCAGCTCTCGAGGGAGTCCCACATTGTGAGCGTCTGTTACTGTCTATGCTTTGCTCTCCAAGGGCTCTCTTTGAGGAGGGAGTCATCATCGGCGTTTCTCGCTGCGCCGGCCCCGCTTTTGCCGAGGGGGCGCGGCGGCTGTGCTCGTGGGGTTTGCATATGGATCCGGTGGAGGGATATAGATGGGTGAATCCCTATCTTCTTCCTCACCCACCAGATCCAGCGCCCACTCTCGGGGTTCGGAAGCCTGTCTTCCTCCAAGGAGGTTGATATGGAGGGCGTCGATGAGCTCGCCAGTTGCACAATCATCAGTTACTCAAACATTATGTCTATATTATTATGAGCAGCATTTACTGAGGAGCGGAGCTCGCGCAGTCAGCTCTCGGAAATAAGGGACTGATTGTGCTTCTCCCCGTTGAACGCGCCACTCCCGCTGGGCACGCGCCGAGGAGTGTGTCCGTGCTTGCGAGCTCACGGTTTAGTCCCGCTGTTGCTGAGGCTGTTTTGCTGGGGGCAAAAGCTTACCAACACCGAGTTCTTCTTTTAGCCGTGCACTCTCATCCCACACTTTCACGACTCAACCACATAGACGATTGGTTGATATTAGCTCAATCAGAGTGGATGGCGGATACATCTCTCACTGGTTGGGAGCGGTCATGAGTGGCCGCTCAGACCGTGGCCTGTGGAGCGTCTGCCATTTCACGTGGCGCATGAGCTGGCCGTGATTCTAGCTTTGAAATACTTCCTCCCAGGCCAAGAGATCGCTATGTGTTGGTGCGCACCGACAACACAGCAGTGGTCTCTTATATATGTGGGGGCAGACATCTTGTCGAGGCAGGGGCTGAGGCCCGGGGAATAGATGCCTCACCCCGAGGGGTGAAGCAGACTTGGAGAGTCTTTGGCCAGGCTCAGGTAGACTTGTTTGCGACTCAGATGATATTGCACGGTCCCCTCTTGTTCTCTCACTGACTCATCCAGCTCCACTGGGGATTTGAGCCATTGGCCTTCGGGATGGCGGGCCCCACCTACTTTAGCCACTCCTGGCTCCCTTTTCTCTCCCCTTAGTTGTGCTCTTCCACACTAGGCAGGGATTTGCAAGTCTGGCGGTGTGGGCATTCTCGTTCCCGTAGAAGTTTCGACGCAGCTCGAGTTCCTGGAGGGGAACGTCTCCAGGTTACGCATGTAACCATGGTTCCCCGAAGTGAACGAGACGCTGCATCTCAGTGCTTGCCAGTGCTTGCTTCACTCCTAGAAGCTGACGGCAGTTTCACCGCACGTGCTTTTATGATTCCTGGTCGCTACGTCACCCCGCCCGTGACGTCTCGCCCATCCAACTGATTACACATGTGATTCAGAGCGTGGTCACCCTGGAGACCCATAGCGTTTCGATGCAGCGTCTCATTCCCTTCGAGGGAACCATGGTTACATACGTAACGTGGAGACATTAATCCAGCACTGAATCAGTTGGTGACGGGTTGATAGCACTGCAAACCCTTGGCCTTAACACAGCTAATACCCCTCCTTTTGCCTTTTTTCTTTCTCTCTTTATTCAGTTTTCATCTTTCAATCACCCATTTCCATTTAAAGTTGAAGTGTTTAAAACATCTAAATAACCCCATCAGGTAGATGATTCTGTAGGTTTCATTGGTCTTGTCAGTCAAAGATATATGAATGCTGAAACTCCTAACACTAAACATAATGTTCAGTGGATCATTTGTGATTTTTCTTAAGTTTGAACTTTTCTTAACAGATGACTAGATGATTAAGTTGGCCAGTGAAATTGCTGCAAGGAGGGGTTTCTGCTTAATTTGGTTTGCTAAAATATACATATACATATATATATATATATATATATATATATATATAAGATGTGTAAGTTGGATTCAGGATTGATTGACCAATGGCAAATGGGCATAGTGTGTTGAGAAACCTGAAAAAATATATATTTTCTTCCAAATAATAATGCATTGAAAAAAAATACTTTGAACCAACTTGGATTTTTTTTTTTTATATTATAAAATTTTATATTAATCAAAAATATCTCTTTTCCCAAAGACAAAAACAATCATAAAAAGTAAAAAGATATTATAAAGGTATTATTATATTTATCATAAATTCCATACTTAATATATTTTCTATAGACATGAGCCAAAATGTTACTTAATGTAGGTCAATATAAGACATAAATTAGCTATAATATGAAAGTAGAGTTTTCACTTAAGATAAAACTAACATTTTGTTAGTCATCGTTTCATTTGGTTTACTTACTATACAGTAAATAAAGACGATTATTAAAATATATAATATAATAAAATGCTTATTGTGGTGTCTTTTTTTAAATATGCATAATATTTTCTGCTATGTACTAATAAAAAAAATAAATAAAAACCACAATAATTTCTGCAGTAAGTATATGTTCTTTAATATTTAAACAGAGGTTCATATAGGAAACCATTTTAATTAATATTATTAGACCAATATAAAAATGCACTTTAATTAAATGGCGCAGTCATTTCACTTTTTTCAGTATGTTTGTAGGCTTTGAATTATCTTCATTTGTAGGCTTTTCTCTGTCATTAATGTCATTAATGCTGATTAATTTAATTAATTAATGGGCATATAATGCAGTTCATTTGATTACATTTTTAATCAGTAGATTTTATAATTAGATTTATTAAAATACACTAAAACATGAGTAAAACTACCAGAATGAATTCGCATATCAATTTAAATCATTCAAAGTATGTTAATTACAAATTTGCTCTTGAGGATTAGGCTTAGGGTTAGTAATGTAATTTAGCTGTAACCACTGGTACAGTACATTGCAAGGCTAAAACCACTTTGGGTTTTGGATAGACTTGTTCTGGTGTTTAGCCAATCACCTTAGACTCGCATTTACTCTACACTAGGGATGCACCGATGTATCGGCCGCCGATATTTATCGGCCGATTTTTCCTCAATTTACAACAAAAGACAAAAGATTGCACATTATTCTTGACTAAATAACTTTTGTAACTTAGTAAAGGAGATCTCATACATATTTAAACTTACAAAAATTATTAAAATGTATACAAAAACAAATTAGAAGATTAATCATTATAAAGTCTGTTACAATAAAGAAGGATTAATATGTATTTAATTTATACAGTGAAGTGTTATTTTACATTTGTTTACTTTATTTCCATACCTGAAAACTGTTAAACCTACCTAAAAAGCACTGTTTATTTAATATGTATCTTTGTTCTGTTGTATTTATGTAGGCCTGCTGAATGTTAAATGGATCCAATCCATGTTCATTAGAAATTATTTGATGCTGCAGCAATAAAACTGCTAGTTATAATTTAATGCAGGTGTTTTTGAACTTTGCTGATTTAAAACATGATCAAAATACTATCTATTTTGATGCCAAAATTTCAAATAAGAGAGGAAGTGACAAATATCGGTATCGGAATCAGCCAATAAGTGATTGTTAAAATCGGTATCGCTATCGGCCCCAAAAAATCCTATCAGTGCATCCCTACTCTACACTTCTAAACACTGTTATGTCTGTGCAGGTGTTGCAGATGTACCTGCCGTTCTGTGGCATCGCCATCTCAAACGCCCAGCTCTTTGCTGCCTCCAGGAAAGAGTACGACAGGAGCAGGGTAAGAACACACTTACTTCAGCACTTCATTAAAACCGTATTATATCTCTGCTCCCCTACTACTGTAACAAGACAGCGCTGTGCATGCGTGTGTGTGTGTGCGCTATAAATGTCATGTGGGTGTTTATTACATAGTACGTGTGTATCTGTCTATTGATCTTTTGCTTCCTACACACTCTGTTCCTGCATCGAGAGGTTTTGAATCAAGAAGAGATGTGTGTGTGTGTGACTGGGGAAGCATAAATCTGAGTTGTGGCGTCTTTACAGCGTCATCAACACATTTTAAATATCGATCACAGAGGAACATAATGCCAGAAAACAAGAATGAAGTAGAGAGAGAGAGAATGAAAAAGATGAAAGCAGAAAGTGAGGGACCTCAAGTGATCATTCAGTGTATGCACTGTTTGCTGGGAGTGATTTTAATGATGCTTGCTCTGTTATCATGTGTGAAGTTGGAGAACCACTGTTGGCATCAAGCCATCAACATAATTCATAGTAGAGGGAGTTCACTAAGAATGAATGGTGCCTGCTGATAGAGTAGGTCATTTGCACGCACTTGATGTTTTAGCAGCCAGTTCACTAAAGGAATTATGCAAATCAGGCATAACAGCGCAAAGAGATCCAGGAAATTAAGGCTGAATTCATCTTACACATCTTGATAAAAAGATAACAATTTAACAATTTTTAAAAAAAAAAGTAAAACTTACTTTATTGCAAAGTGCACTTTTTAAAAGTTAAAAACCTTTTAATTATCTTTAAGTTGATTTTTTAATATACTTTAAGATTTTAAGTACACTACAAGTGCACATTCAGTGCAATTAAGCACACTGCATTTTTAAGGGTTTGCCCATTTATACTGCTCTTTTCCATAATTTGCTCATTATTTAATTAATTACTGCTGCCACAATCAATAGAAAAATACCCCCAAATCCCTTTTAAACTAAATTTTTCTGCAAGCCTTTAAGTGATTTTAAGTCATTTATGAAGTTTGAAAGCTTCTGTCTCTATTAATTACAACTGCATGGGGGAAAAGCATGTATATTTAAGAAAGAAAATAAAATGGGTTTGAAATGAAATTAGGGTGAGAATATGTTGACAGATTTTATGAATTGTCTCTATGAACATGCAGTCGACCTGATACTGGCCATAGAAAAATAAACTACTCTAATTCCTGCTTTAGGGCCCTTGCAGAAACACACCGAATGCCATGCGTATTTGTGAATGGATTGACGCATTAATTGTACTTTTATTTGCGTTGCATTTATATACTTTGATTAAGTGTGTTTCTCTGTTTGTGTCCATGTGTGTAGGCTCTTCTGGAGGTTGTGAACGATTTGTTCGAGGAGCAGACCGATTTGGAGAAGATCGTGAGGAAGATCATGCATCGAGCTCAGACGCTGCTGAAGTGTGAACGCTGCTCCGTCCAGCTGCTGGAGGACATCGAATCTCCGGTGCGATCTGATCCTCTTCCTCCCCGTCCCCTGCCTGCCGCATCCCTCTAATCCTGCTCGCTTTAATGTCTCCTGCAGGTGGTGAAGTTCACCAAGTCCTTTGAGCTTCTGTCACCCAAGTGCAGCGCTGACATGGAGAACAGGTGCGACTAACGGCAGGTTAAACACACACACACTTGCGGAAAAAGTCTATGCATTAACACACTCTTTCACACAAACATACCTCTACTTTATATAACCTCAGAGAGGAGTTGAGACCCGGCAGCGCTGCTAGCGCTAATGAGGCCATTTCAGAGTGGCAGCGTTTGTTTGCTGTTAACTGCAGCAGGTGGCATGTGCTGATGTGTTGCCCCCACAGTGACTACTGTTTCTCTGCTACGACCTCTCATACACACGCACAGCTTGATAGAGATATGTCAGTCTCAGTGCCAGCAGGAGTGTTTGCTTGTGGCATGTGTGTGTGTGTGTGTGTGATTCTTTGTGTTTGAGCATTTTTAAAGGTGTCACACCCACAGCACAAAGTGCATCTCCATATGATGCAACCTAAAGATATTTATGAAGCAGTAATTAGCTCATTAGAGGCTGCTGTGTATTTTAATGTTCAGTGTAAGATGGCCATTTGAATACCACTTTTTGGATGTTGTGAACCACTGTGTGCTGAATTTAATAGGAGTATTTTGGAGTTGTAGTTGGCAATTTGTGTATAGTTGGTTGTAGAAGACTATTTGCAGGGCTTAAAGTTCTCCGGCACCGTGCCGGATCTCCGGCATGCAGCGTTTGGCTGCGGAAAAAATAATCCTACATTTAAAAAAAACTTGTTGATATCACTTTCAAGTCCATGAGTTAGCCTACCAATGGTGTGAGAGGAGCACAGCTTTCACTCTCAACCAAACTAACATTACTAGCCAGTCAGAATGTTTTGCTCTTATAAACACGTGACGCGCATAATAGTATCCAACTGCAGAGTCGCAGCCCTGATGAATGGAGAAGCACTACACGTTGAAAAAGCTGCAAGGCGCAATGTTCAAAGATGTCCATCTAGTGCATATTTACATAGAAAAACGAATTAAAAAGCAGCGGAGCTTTGTAAACAGCTCAGAGTAATCACGTCATCTCCATAAGAACGATATGATTGCCAGAACAAATTTACCGGGATTTTTAAAAAGGTCCTGTTCTCACATGATATCTTAATGGTAACTTACCGGTAATTTACCAGTAAAGACTGTATGTGTGAACGGGGCTAAACTCTTCCTCTGTATATGCTGTGAGTTTGAATTGCTTAATGTTCATCTGGAAAAACAGTGTGCATTATCTCACTAGATTTGTAACATAAATCATTTATAAACCTTTGCCAACACAGGAGAATACATCATATTTCTAAATATGCCATTTATTGTACATCGCGATTTCAAAATAAAAGTTTCTGAGTTTGCATGTGACCAAATATTAAAATTAAATGGATTTAAAGTCCCCCTGTAGTCCAATATTTTATCCCTTAAAACTAATCTTTGATCATCAAAATTACATATTTAAATGTTTTTTCTTGTGAAAATAATTTTCTCATGCCTTAAAATAGCTTGAATGTAACTCTACACCCTTGCCTCATTTACTATACGTGAATCTATGAATATGCAAATTAGCCCCGCCTCCACTCAGTCACACCAGCCAGCGCCTCCAGATCCACTGAACTGTAGTAACTGCAAAACAATGGCATACACGGATACTGACTGATAAAACTATGTTTTTACTAGCGGACAACTACAGTGAATACTGTAACATTTGTTAAAGTTACTTACTTGACAATGTTGTGTCCTCAAAATGCATTGAAGACTCGAATACAGCTGTTTGTGATTGTTAATTCACGCCCGCGAGCATACATACCCGCGTGAAGTGCAAACGCAGCTGCGGGAGAGGTGCATCTGACTCCGGGCTACTTTTACACTGTTGCCACAGGTTATAATGCTAGTTAGTGGTTCTAAATTCACATTAAACCACAGCTTCATGGGTTTTTTGCTCTGGTTTATTTTTGGTTTTGTGCTGGTATTGGTATATTTTGCATGCTAGTGATAGGAATCGATCCCTTGACGTGATTGGTTATTGGTTTGTGACGTAGCAAACCTAGGGCTGTTTCAAACCACATTTCTGGGTCAGCCTTTGGGAAACTACAGTTTTAAGGAGAAAATACTCAGCAATGGTGTTGATTAATAGATTGGCACATGGTTTGTCTAAAAGCATATTAAAAACATCACATAGACAAATAAACAACATAAAAAACTAGATTTTCACTACAGGGGGACTTTAAACATTGTTTAATCACGCTGTAAAGTGAAACGTCACCAGGCTGTTGACGCACTCTACAGGTATTTGTTATAATACATAATGTACTTAAGTTGGTTATTTTCATATTATGTATAGGCATATTACATTATGTGTTTTAACAGTGTTGTTCAATAAAACCATGTAATTACTTGGTTTTGATACTTTATTTGAGCCAAGTATTATTGCCTCATCGTTAGTTTATATATAAATAGTCATACTAAAGCCTGGTTTTCACTTAGGTCTGTTTGTGTTACTAAAAAATATCAGATTACTCAATTGTCAAAATAATCATTAGTTACAGCCCTAGATTAGTTAAAATATTTAAAAATACAACTGCATTGTTTTATTTTTTGAAATGAAAAGAAAACTATTTTATTGAAAATTTCTTAAAAATAGTATTAAAACATTGTCTCATTCTAGTGAACCAAGTTTCTGTATTTTGTCTCATCTCATGAGCTAAGTGTATTGTCACACCCCTAGTGTCGATAAGCAGTGAGCAGTGAAGCAGGAATTTTCCAAGTGTATGTTATAGCTTTCATTCTTCAGGTCAACCATATATTCATGAAAAAAAATCAGTTTGAATAAGGAAAGCAATAACTTTGCCGTAGTATCCTTTCAAATGTTAAATTTGCCACAGTCATTGCATGCTTTCCCCTGTGTTTAGTGTATTTCCAGTGTAGGATGAATGTCACCCTTGTGAAAAAGAAGTGCACTTAATAGTATTGAATGTGCATTTGTAGTGTACTTCAAATCTTAAACGTAAGTAATTTTAATAAATTAAAATGCCACTTACTGTAAGTGTACTTAAAGTAGTACTATTTCGTGACATAACATTTCATGTTTTTTAACACTTAAAGGCACAACATGTAATTTTCACCACTAGAGGGCGGGTATTCAAAATAAACAAATAGACAAAGGCGTAGTTTGATGACGCAGTGACTGAGTGTGGAATCATGGTAGTTGTGGTGTTCATCCCCACAGCCGATGCAATCTGACGGGACTCGGGCAATTAAAAATGAGTTAAAATTGCTTATTTCTCTGGATTTAAACATTCTTCGAAACATTTGGGATACTGTAAGTACGCAAGTCAGCAAAATATATAACTGTTCTAGTGGTTTTTTGATATTTTAATAAAAAAATCTTACATATTGTGCCTTTAAGTACATGTTTAAAAAGGGCATTTTCTAAAAATATCAAAATAAAAGTTTTACTTTTAAAATCATTTTATTTTAAACCATTTTATTTATCTTTTATCGTTTTTCTAAGAAGTACACTTATTTTCATGCGTTATGTAACATACTAATGCACATGTAAAGTCTACAAGTGTTATTTGATATTACATTTAAAGGTAGTATATACTTTAAATGTACTAAATTGCAACTTTATCTTTACCAATGTGTAATTAAAATATAATTATATAAATATATAAATTATAATTTTCAATGCTTGACACAAGAGAATCAATATAAATAACATTGAGGTGAATTGTAGTTTATAAAAAATGTTTGTCAGCATATTTGGTAGTACTCTATAATCATATTAAAAAAAAAAAATGAATTATACAGACATACATAAGTCCTACTTAAGTGGGTTGAAATTTTTTTTTAATTGCATTTAATATGAATTTAAACTATAATATATTTTCATTTAAATGTAATTGACATGCAAACATATATCTGGAAACATTAAATTCAGTTTGCGAGTGAATCACCATACTCACCTTCAAGTTGTTCCAAACCTGTATGAGTTTCGTTCTTCTATTGAACATAAAAGATTTTGAATAATGTGGATAACCACACTGTTGCTGGTAGCCATTGATTTCTATAATATGGGGAAAAATAGTATGGAAATCAATGGCTACCAGCAAATGTTTGGTCACCAATATTCCCTTAAAATATATTTTTTTCAGTTCAGCAGAATGTTTAAACAACATAGTTTCATACAGCATGAGGGTGAGTACTGAGGGTATTGTGGAAAATGGAGACAGAAATCAGGAATGTGGTTGGCAGCCACTAGTCTAAAGTTTACTTTTTAACAAGGGGTGTATCTGTGATGTTTGTGCTTGTGGTGCATTTATGTGTTAGTTTGTGTACAGTGCTAGTCGGTCCATACAGTATAAGCTGCAAATCCTCTGCATACCCAAGCCATTTGAGAGAAAGAGTTAATTAATATTAACATTACTATATATTCCCTTTTCATTTGAGGTGTAGCATAAAGCTCACATAATAAGATGTTGGGAGTAAGTATGAGACACAACTCTAAAATGTGTTTAAATGTGTTATTAACAACGAATTGTTCAGTTCGGTTCAGTACATGCTTTGTAGAATTTCTAAAAATGCTAATGCACTCGTGCACAATGTTTTGGTGTTGTAGTTTATGCATACAGTGTTTTGAGGGGTTGTGATTAAAGGCAAAGACTATAGAATACCTAAGACGTGTCTCTCGAATAGTTTTGAATGGGGAAAAATGGCCGCTCAATCGCAGGAAGCCCCGCCTTCTGAATAAAAGAGCCAATCGCGAATTGGTAAAGTCAGCGCGTCACTGCAGCTGCCGTTAGAAGTCCCGGTTGCTATAGAAATAGTCAGCGTTTTGAGACGTGCGCTTAGGACTGCACATGCGCACTGGCTGATCTTAGCCTGAAAAATAAGCTTTTTATAACGCTATTTGTGGAAAAGAAACACAGTTGTTGTCAGATTTCTTTGGTGATTTCAAATATGAAATTTAATCGTAAGCTTAGTAAACAGTTTTGGAGAACTCGATGTTTCCCCATTCAAAGAGATAGGAGTTGCGCTTGCATGCCCGAGAGGCGTTTCAAAGATGGCCGCCGAGTGACATGACTTTGTTAAAGGTCAGTGCTGTAGGGTCACGTGTGTAGTAGCTCAGGGTTATGATGTTGTAGTTTGTGTGTGGTGTATTTAGTGGCAGTGCTGTAGGGTGTGCAGTAGGTCAGGGTTATTGTGTGATATCTGTTATCTGCAGCCCACACTCAGCGCTCCAGTATGTCCAGTACTCAGCACTAGTGGAGTCTCAAAACCCTGAGCTCAGCTCTTACAACAGCACACACCACAACAGTACATTACTGCAGACACAAACACACAGCTGCAGATCTGCAAGCACACAGCCATTGAGGAGCCTAGGAATAAGAGCAAACATGTTCCTTTGTGCAAGATAGGTCTGTTGTTCGTGACTGTTTTGTGTAGCCAATGACGACGAAGCGCACAGGTTTGGAGATCTCAGTTGCCATATGGGAGCTTTCACACTACAATGTGTGTTCAGTCACACATATCATCTCATTCTCTGCATCTGTCTAATGTTCCAGCGGAGGTCTGTCTGGGGAGATCACACACCATCACCATGTGAACGCATGCATCGCTCAGCCCACCCTCACCATCTGAGCAACAAAGCATCACATGCAGTCACTTTACAACTAGCTAAAGTGCTCTGAGATATTAAAACCACAATTATTTTCAAAATCAGCTCTCTACTGCGAGTAAATCACATGCATATGCCAATACATTTTGCGGTAGGTGACGTAATAATGTCTGTTAGCCATTGGCTGATAAATTGTTAGATTTCACTTGCCAGTGTTAAGTTCAAGGCTTTTTTTCTTGTCAAAATAACTGGAGAACATTTTATATAGAACTATGGAATTATGTACAGACATGATGTTTACAGATTTTTATCTACAAGTTCGAGATGAGGTTGAGGTTATTAGCTTGCTTATCTGTGTTGCATGACCTGCTTTCTGGAACACATCCTTGGTGTTGTATGCATGATGGCACAGTGTGTTGTCTTCTCTTTTCTTCATTAGTGCTGTTTAAAATGCCATGGCTGTCTAACCATTTGAGATATTTGACCTCCTTCATAGCTCTATAAAGTCGACTATTCTGCATAAAATTCAAATGGGTCAGATATGATATATGCATATATGATTTGCTCTGCGCTGTCCTGTCTCTGGAGCACACGTATGTACAATGCGGTGCTTCACCTGACCCAAAACCAGCTTTCACAGGCAAGCATTCACACCCCTGTGTAAAATAAGTGCACTTTATTGTATTGAATGTGCATTTGTAGTGAATTTCAATTCTCAAAAGTATTTGAAAAAACTTTACTTGCTGATGATAATATAATATTAATTAACTTAAAATGAATAGATCCATTAGTTCAGTACATATAAAGGCAAACATTTTTATAAGCTCATGCATGTGAATTTAGTTGGTAATCTAACCCATGATCTTGCTAACGCCATGCAGGAAAGAGCACAAAATAAATAAATAATTAAAACCAGACAGCTAGCAAATATTCATAAAATGTATTGTTTGGGTGCCAGTTTTCACTTACTGCACCCAAACAAACTGTTTACACTTGAATACACTCAAATTAACATTTGGGTGATAAAAGGACTAGTCTCAGTTTCACACTATTGCAGTAATATACATTTGAACTTTATAATTGAGGAACTAGTTGAAATTGTATTCTGTGGTAATGGACAGCATATTACAGAAAGAGTTGTATTTAACCCAGAATCTTCCTTTAAAAAGCATGATTAAAGATGAGAGAGACTTCTGCTCTGTTTAAAACCTT